TCACAGCCTAAGACTTTCCTGGTAGAAAATTAAATCCCAATGTCAACCATGCTGGCAAACGTAAAATCCAAAATAAGGTATTTGTCAAGCGAGTTCTGGGGATCTAACGTCCCCAAAATATGAAGAGACTGATGTTTGTGAACAGCTCAATATACTAAAGAAATGATTCTTTATTTTAGTTTCTATATATCAGACTTAGGCAAACACCGTTTATGCAATGACGGTAATCGGAAGCAGAATACCGTTTTCGTTGGATGAGTTTATTTCAAGCAATTGTCCATGCATTCATTTTAGCAGGCACATATGAGAATGAGCTTATCAGAAGAGCAAAGTGAAGTGGAGAAGATAGGTGCGCCAACTCCGTACGATGAAGCATGACTTACTTGTCAGACACATTAAGCGAAGCACACACAGACTCAAGCAAAAGAAGAAGAAAACTAGGCAAATGAATAATAATGAGCGATCTTTCGGTTCTATAATTAATCTAAAGGGTGGTAAAACCCCGTGGCTTAGACATAAAAGTGCACACAACAGACTGATACCGCCAAAAGAGAATAGGGTGCAAAACAGTATTCTTCAGTCTGCTGTGGCTTGAACTGACTTTTCAAGTTCCAAACATTTGAAGTTCACTCCCTTCATGTCACTATTCATGTATGTCAGTGATACTTTATGCTAAGGCACAACAAATGAATATGGTCCCAGATTAACTCATTTGTCTCTACAACTCTTTTGTGAAATTTATCATGTGTTCACTAGCTACTAGCTTCGTAAGGAAGTCTCTTCATGTTGTCGTCTGAAATCAACAACCGTGGTGTCAAACTACATTGGGTGTCAAGTAGTTCTCTTCGAAGGCATTGGATGGGGTTGCGCAAGGACATGGATTGATCGCAATGATAAATAACCAATACTGGATGTCTGCTCAGTTGTCTAGATGAGAGAACAAAGGACTTTTTTTCTATTCCAGCTAGTAAAATCCAAAAACGTTTTGATTGAATCGTATCAAAACCACTTTTTTATGAAATGATTCATTATATTCATTTTGTTCACAATCAAGAAGTTAAGTTTGCTAAAACTGATAATCAACCAAGTTGTATTGGCAATCTATTTATCAGTCTGTCTTCTTTGTGTAATCGCTTGCTTTTTTAGCAACTAGAGCAATTTTTATCTAACGAATATGGAATGTTCGAACATAATGGGACACTGTGAGAGTTATCCAGGTTGAAGGAGAAATGAAAAGATACAATTTGGTGGTATATGTATCCAACGAAACTCTTTGCACACAGGTTGAACAGCTCTGACTAGCTTAAGGAGAGCTGCTGTTTCACTCTGGCTATATAGAAGAAGATGCCACACACACGGAGAATTTCACTAATGCTGTAAGACCTTATATCCTTTTATCCTCCAGTGAGCTTCTCAATAATGACTATCGATAACTTCACACGCTTGATGGAGAATGAGAATTTTACACTGAAAATAATTGCTTTTTTATGAGTTGAAATATATTTCCGGCTAGATAATGAGTGCACGTTTCTAACGAGCTCTTGCTTTCAATGATTGTTTAGTTAAAAATCGGTCAACTTGATGTTACCCAAACTATTTTGTTCAATTAAATCACTGAATTGACTAGGCTCATTTTCTTTTGATGAAGTATAGCTTTATGATTAATAAAATAATTTCATTGGGTAAATGAAGAAATTTTTTGTGTGACATTTATGTTTAATTAGCTTGTTAGGAATTTTCACCTTGAGTAAACATCAAAAGTTAAATCAACTTTGAATATAAGAGGTGCATTGTCAAAAAACAGTAATTCGGGGGATTTCCAACATTTTAGAAACACGGACTATAAAATGAATGAAAAATGTGACTGTGTAAATATTTTCCCTAAAAATAATAGTACGTTTTCAAACAAACGTTTAATTATACACAAATTTTAGTCATTTAATTTTAGCTACTGATGAGTTGGTTACCCCTCCAGTAGAGTGTTCGAGGCTACTGCCGGTCTCAAGAAAGAAGGAGTGTTGAGCATGGGGTTGGCGACCATATGCCGTAAGAACTAACTTCCCGAAATAACGTTCGTACTGGAAGAGTATTTCAAGTTGCAGCAGAAGTGAGAAGATACAACTCCGAGGTGTTCGGCATCAGTGAAACGCATTGGACATAGGTAGGACAACTGAGACTTGCTTTAAGTAAACTGCTAATATACTCTGGTCATGTAGAGGAAAATGCTTCACATACACAAGGATTTGCACTGATGCTGTCCTATTATGCACAAAAATCACTGACAGAATGGGAATCCAATGGACCAAGGATGATTAAAGCATCCTTCGAAACAAAGAAAGAGGACATTACGATGAACGTCATCCAATTCTATGCACCTACCAATGACTACAATGACGACGACAAAGATCAATTCTACGAAAGGCTGCAGTCAATCGTCGAGAAACGCTCAGCAAAGGATTTGATGATTCTAATGAGAGACCTGAATTCCAAGGTTAGCATGGACAACACTGAATATGAAGACATCATGAGACGACATGGACTGAGAGGAAGGAACGAAAAGGGTGAAAAATTTGCAAACCTATGTGCCTTCAACAAACTTGTCGTCGGTGGCACAATATACCCACACAATCGCATACACAAAGCTACATGGTTTGACCGGATCACATTACTCAGAATAAAATCGACCATATCTGTATCAACAATAGATTCATAAGTACCATGGAGGATGTGAGAATCAAGAGAGGAGCTGATGTAGCCTCAGACTACCACCTGCTGGTTGCTTAAACAAAACTGAAACTCAAGGAACACTGGATAACGGGCAGATGTTTAATAGAGCCTTCTTTCGTCATACCGTGAAACTCAACAAACTAAAGATTGGCGTCATCAATAGGTTCTAGGTTTTGCAGGATTTACTCAATAAAGAGAAAACAACCTTGGAAAACATTTGAAAGGTATCGAAGAGACAATCGGTTCTAGGTCACGATAAGTACCATCACAAGGATTAGATCTCTGTTGGTACTCTTGCGAAAATCGAAGAAAAGAGGAATAAAAAGCCAGCGATCATTATCAGCCGAACAAGAGCAGAGAACCATAGGGACCAGTGAAAGGCAAGGAAGGCAAAGAAATGTGCAACACTGAAGAACAGTGAAACATGTGTAGAGCAATTTAAGGAATTCTTGAATCAAATAGCTCCACTGGACCCACCCTAATCGAAGCAGCATATACGGTCATCACAATCGATGTTGGTGCACCTACAGTTGGAGATATCAACATTGCCATCAGACAAATCAAGAGCGTAAAAGTAGCAGTTAACGATAGCATTCCAGCGAAGGCAATGAAGGCAGACGTC